ACCATTCAAGCACACGTGGAGAAAAGATGTCACCAAATGCACACTTTTCGATCGAAATTTATGTTAGAAAAGAGCGTCGAAAAAACGAAATTACAAATCACATTTAGAAAGTAAGATTGGAACCTCACCATTTTAGTTGAAATTACCTCATATATCATCACTTCAACATATCATCTACTTCCTGCAAGAACACATAATGTTATTGATGAGCCATTTATATGTCAAAATCTAATTTCAGCTCGTTATGTTTAATAAAATATTATTTGTAGCATACCAATTAATGTGGGTAGTTCATACCTGAGGTACAAAATGGTCTATAAAGGTCTCCAAAAGTATACTACAATTAATTAGTGGTATATCCCTGGCTAAGAAATCTTATTTGTATTGGAACTTATTTCTAGATCACCTTGGTTCTTCAAGCTTTCGTTGACTTAAAAAGCAAGTGAGCAATAGGGGTTTCTCTTAGTGCACCGAATACAGAATGCATTTGCATTTGATAGCCCCGCCCACATTTCGGAGGGCGGCGAGTGGCGAAAAAAGTGTGCAGTCACGTACGGCAGCGACGTCGACTGAGGCAGCGGCAGCGGCGGTGCAGTGGCAGAGACGCCATTTTGCGCTGCTACTGTCACTTTACATGCCACAACACACAATTGACAGCGCGGATATTTATGTAAATAATTTTTCATGTTGCTGGTCGGCGGCAGGCAGCGACAACAAAAGTGTGCACTTTCCGTTGACGTGACCCGCGAGTGCGCGAAATGCAAAGAATGCAAAAAATACAACATTTTCGCGCAGAAAACAAACAAAAATAGGCGAAAAATGGACGCCCGCACACAATGGGGTTAAAGGTTGGCGCCCATTCATCTATTTCTCACCCCGAAAGGTCTGCATAAAGAGCCCATTGTCGCGGGCCAGCCCACAAAATGGTTAAAGTGCAAAACGGATTGCAGTCCGTGAAAGGATTGCGCAAAACCGATTTCCAGATGGACTTGAAAAGCGCGCCAATATGCAAAAGTAACGCATTTTTTCGCACCCATAAAAGCGATTCAATTATTCCACAAAAATTGCTATACAAATATCCTATACAATGCAGTAAAAGTATTCAATTACTTTTTATCTGGTACAACTTATTGCGGCATGTAGCAAATATGCTTTTCCCAAGCCAGTTTTCAACTTTTTCACCACCCCTATATAATTTTCATTAATTCGATTCCTGTTTTAATATTTAGTCGAAGTAAAAACTGAAAGTCTATCCTTTAAAGGTACGAGGTAAAACTTGGAAGTCCAGCCTTAAACATGTCAAAGAAGGTTTGATACATTTCTACAATTTTGCGTTAATGATATCAGCTGTTATTTAATGTATGTAATATATGTAAGCAAAGTGAATTTAAAGTTTTTAAGCAATTTAAAATAATACCTGCAATATTTCTAGCACGATTGCGATTAAAAAGTGCATTAAGGCCTTTAAAATTGGAACTGTTCTCAAAATTGTAAGAATTATTAACTGGAAACCATCATTTTAAATTTGCATATTACATTTATACCCACTCTGCGTTCTCATTAAGGTGTCGATTAAGTGTGGGTCCTATTGTTCATAATGCGCCCCTAATTATAACACATTGCAATGCAATTAATAGGCGCGACAATTAAAAGTAACGAGCAGCAGAAATCAATAAGTGACATGTAACCGAGTTGCAACCATAAGGGCGAATGGAAGGTGGTCGATTTCGAATCGCTTTCGAAACTTTTGTCGGCAAATGGGGCGTAGAGCAAGGATTGGGCATCCTAAACCAGGAAATATGCTTAAATCGTGGCCACCGATTTGAAATTGTCCAATGCAGGAGCTCGTGGCCCAGTTGAGTGGACTAATTTGTCGGAAATGACGTTTTCGGTTTTCAGCCAGCGGATGTGGAGTTTATGTATGTGAATTTTCGCCGCCCATTAATAGCAATTTTCGGGTGGAAAGGACCGTTTGTGGCAAAGAACCAATTTGAGTGACAGGAGTCCGGCACAAGGCGCAGAATATTTCAAGTCCTGGCGCGACGCTTTTCCAAAATGACGCCTGCTAATTTAATTAATTCCCACCTGGCCCGATGGCAGCGAAGGTTAGTCGTGCTGCAAGAAGCACCCCCAAAAAACCCAACCCAATCGCCCATCAGCAATACACGTAATTGAAACATTCCTTGACCAGCGAAATTATAAAGGAGTCGCCCGAAAAGGAAAAAGTTACTTTGGCCGCAATTATTTGGCACGTCTCCACTAATTAATTACGCCTTTTGGCTCCACGTTCTTTGGGTGGTGCGGTGGTTCAGTGGTTCGTTCGGCTGTTCCAAGTTTAAAATGTCCACGTTTAATTAAATATGGCTCGGCAGCGGCGGCTCTATAATTAATTTCGGCACTGCAATTTTGTTTAAAGCAAAGAATGCGGCCCAGGCAAAAAATATGTATGGGCCACGGAGAGCTGGAAACCGAACCGAATTAGAGCAGGACATCTGCACGGATGGATTCAGCCTCCCTTGCGGGGATTCCCCACCCCAGTGCCAATTTGAAATCTACACGGAGAGAAAATGGCACAGAAAATGGTAGATTTAGTATAAGCTAACTACATTTGGTAGGCAACTTAATAAAGCTTATAACATATCCAAATTATTTAAAATCAATAAAATCAGACATTTTTAGAACTTGTATCCCAGCGTTTTAAAATTGTTTATTTTCTTCAGTTTCTTTTTAACTTACTTCAAAATGTGATAGTGATATTATTGATAGATACATAAAAAATGTCTCATTAACACGTTTTATAAAAAATACAATGATCCTCTTGAAAGATAAATATGAATAATAGCAGTTTTGAAGGGGAAAGTGATTGTGGGTTACAGTGTCAGTAGAACACTATATATTTAATGGTTATCTATCTTCTGTTTAAATTAAAAAACATGGAAGACGGCTTTTTTCCAGTGCGTCTTCGAAATCAGAATCAAAGCCTGGGTTGGTGGCCAGGGCATTAAAGTGTCAATATCCATTAGGCAGTCCTGATTGTTTAAGCTGCTTTACGCCAACTTCTCCTCTGGCTTTCTTACCCGTTCCCCGGGTCCGGGTCCAAGTTTCTTGACACGCTCTCTCTTTTAGCCCGGTTCTTTTGTCTCCGGAGTCTTTTATTGCCGGCAAAGCCGTGGCACAATGACTCCTTCTCCGCTATTTGTTCTGGCTGCTGTTCTCATGCTGGGCTCATTGTTTCAAATAAGAAATGACGCGAATTGGCTAGAGCGAAATGGTTAGAAATGCAAATTAGCGGGAGATAAGAGGGGGCGTGGTCGAGGGAAATGGCCATGGCAGAAAATCCGAATGCCCTGTGGCCATAAGTTGCGCAAATATAAGAGGATATACTGGGAAAAGGGCTATGAACTTGTCATTCTGCGAAGCCAGGGGATAAATATTTTTGAGACATTTTCAAAGCCAATTTAAAAGTGACCAATGTGGCTAAGAACTTCTTCACCATTTTGCAAAGAGGAATTCTTCAAAAAGTAAGTTTGTATCTCGAAAATATCTTCTAAACACTTCTTTTGACTGTTCATACCTAAATATAAATTTGGGAGAGAGATACAAGTTTTTTATGCACCTTGTTCAGCTTACACTTCATTTTAACTTCATTAAGAGTGGCACTTCCGACTTGATATGAACTTTCCCAGACCCAAAGCCTGATACTCTATTCCATACCCTTTCCAATCCATTTACTTTAATTTAGAAAGTAAAAAAGTGTAAAATTACCGCTGGCTAATCCTTGTCATCTGCTGCCTTGCCTGATTTTACAGATTTCTTGTCCAGGTAATTGCGAAAAAAAGGTCAAGTCGGCAAAAGAAAAGACAAAGGAACAGTAGAGTGGCCAGGAAAATGAGAAAGCATCGGGGACTTGAGCTTAATTGGTAATTACACAAAGTCGCGGTATGTTCTACACCTACATACAATTATTTGAGACCCTACATGGATTGTGGGTTCATGGACCTTCAGTCAGTCGGGGGAAAAGCCATTTGGTGATTTATATTTCGCCGAAAACTTTTAACTTTAACCAAAATCCCCGGGGATAAACCACGGTCTCCTATTAGTCCCCTTCTTCGAAAATTGTGGGGTTGTGGGGTTGCAACCCCTAAAAGCTAAGCATTAGCTGCGCGGGCTGTCGAAACTTGTGGTTCCTTTCAATTAACCTTTCATCTGTTTAACATGTATTATAAAATTAGACGCGGTCTCCTGGACCACAGCAGCAGCAGTGGGTTAAGGCGACTGGTCGGGGGTGGTGCCGATGGTGGGCACTGCCTAATGTATGCTCAACCACAACCCCAAGACATGACAACACTATTAAACATTATTCGTGGCCATGGGAAGGGACGTCCAAACGGATGTCTTAATTGTCGCTGGGCCAATGCGGCGTATGCGCAATCAATGGGGTAATGAAGGGTTAAACCAAAAAAGTGGAAGTTACAGCTTATATAAATGTAAAACTTGACTTGGAATTTTGAAGCCCGTTGTTCGTAGTCCGAGAGGGTATTTTGTATTCGTTAGCAATTATAATAGGTAAAGGGAAGCTTGCTCCATTCCATAAAGTGTATATTAAGATCAAGCTTCACTGAAGATACTAGTTTCTGCACAGCGAAATTTAGCTTAAAATTCGCGAACTTTTTTATTTTTAAATTAATTTTTGCTGAAATGTAATAAGTAGCGTAATTGCCAATATAATAATAATATAAGAAGAGTAAGGCAATGTAAAATAAATATAGGCACTACAAAAAGGGTTTTCAATTTTGTGGTGGAGTTTGCCCCTTATTAGCGGATGGGAAAAATAAATGTTCAACTTTTATGCACAAGAAGAATCTCAAGATTTTTTGATGAGGTTTATGTATCTACATGTACTGTACATCACACGTTTTTACACATGTAAAATAAAATATGTAAAATAAGAGCTGCAATGTAGATGCGGATTCGATAACAACCAATCGAGCCGCAGCGAACATCTGTTTGGCCGGCCCACTGCAGCGAACTGGCAACGCCGATTTCAACACGTCACCTGTCTTGTGCAAAATATGTAATTTTTATTGTTTAGGTCTGCGTTTTGTCTGTTTTGTTGGTTTTCCGTGTGCAAGATGAAGTTCGCCGACGTGCTGCGTCGCCTGGACGCCTATCCCCGCACCCTGGACGATTTCAGCGTTCGCACAGTGGGCGGCGCCGCAGGTGAGTGCAAGTGTTCAATTGCTTGTGGCGATAAGGAACCCAAACAACCGGCTTTTCCCTGTCTTTCAGTTACGATCATCAGTACCAGCATTATAAGCCTGCTGATCTTCCTCGAGGTTCTCAACTATATGCAGCCGACGCTAAATGAAGAGCTCTTTGTGGACACCACTCGGGGTCACAAGCTGAGAATAAATCTGGACGTGACACTTCATAATCTGGCGTGCAATTACATCTCACTGGATGCAATGGATTCATCCGGGGACACACACTTGAGGGTGGACCACGATGTCTTCAAGCACCGGCTGGACCTCAATGGGGAACCCCTCAAGGAGACGCCCATCAAGGAAATCGTTGCTGTTTCGCCGCCCAATAAGAATGTCACCTGCGGCAGTTGCTACGGAGCGGAGCACAATGCTACCCAGTAAGCTAGTCAATAGTTTATAGGCTCAACCTATAAAGCTAAAACCTTTAGCTGCATCTATTTTCACTGAGAAGAATGCCAAACATCTTGTAAATTAAATATTTCCATTCATCTATAGGAAAGCCCTTTTTAGAAGAAAGAAGTACTTCTAGATTTCAATTTAAGCTACACTGGTTTTCTAAATTAAGATTTATCTGCACCTAGAGCTGGCTAATCCTTGTTATCTGCTGCCCTGCCTGATTTTACATGTTTCCTATCTTATTATAGAAATATCTTCCTAATCTCTCCTTTTTGTTACCAATTACCATCACATCTAGCTGCTGCAACACGTGCGAGGAAGTTCTCGACGCCTACCGGCTGCGCAAATGGAACGTGGCGGTGGACAAGATCGAGCAATGTAAGGGCAAGTACAAGCGTAGCGACGAGGACGCGTTCAAAGAGGGCTGCCGCATCCAGGGCCACCTGGAAGTGAACCGCATGGCCGGCAGCTTTCACTTTGCGCCCGGCAAGAGCTTCTCCATCCGCCAGTTCCACATCCACGACTTTCAATTTAGCAATGTAAAGTTATCGCACACAATCAATCATCTATCATTCGGCGAGAAGATCGAGTTCGCCAAGACGCATCCCTTGGACGGATTGCGAGTGGAAGTGGCTGGTGAGTAGTGAACATTGAGTATTTCTGTAACGTCTCTATTGCAATAACTTAGCGTAATTTAAACAAGATTGGAGTAGGGCTTAAGGTTGGTTGTTTAGTATCTCTAGTCAAATGCCAGCAGGATCAGCAGCGAATCCCTGTGCCGATGGCCATGAAGGTGCCGAAGGTTCCGCCACCCTGAACCATGGTCTTGCCCACGTTGTTGATGAGCTCCCGGCCACGTAGTCCGTATCTAATGGGGATTTCGATGTGGTTCATTAGTTAGCCGGTCAAATTACATAATTGCCGGCCTCCACTTGCGTCACTCCTTTGGAGGAGTGGCAAGTGGAGCTTGCGGCTGCAAAGTCCAACCCACCTGAGTGCCGAGAACCCGCCGAAGACCGCTCCGCTGGCCATTCCCACACAGAATCCGATGATGAAGCCCGTCTTCATCTTATCGAAGCACGTTGGTCCCTGCTGGGAAAAAGAGCTCGTAGGCAGAGGCATCCCGCAAACTCCGTGGTTTTCCTGGTTCTCCGGCTATATATAAGTTGATCCCGCTGAGTAGCAAGCTCCGCTGCTCCGACGCACTTACGAATCTCGCAAAGGGTTCGTTTATTTTAGGAATATTCAAAATATTTCTATTTATTTCGGCACCGACTCGTCGAATAATTCGTGAACGTGTGAGTGTGAGCAGCTGAGTGATGGTGTGCGTGAGCTGTCAAACGAGGCAAAGGGTTGCCACTTTGTTTTTCGCTCAGCCTGCCTCGTCTGGCCCTACCCGATAGAGGGCGGTAGCGTATGAGCGGGTGGCTTGAAATCGTAATGATTATATATATTTTTTTAAAGAAACTTAAGAATGCCATCTAAAGCAAACTAATAGATATGAGTATAGCCATTTAATTTATATTTTATTTACTGTATAATTTGGATTTCTGTTGTAATTTTGCAGTCGGTTAAGTGGGTTATATTTATAAAACAAATTTTAAGAATTTTCGACTACCTATTTTTACCTTACCAAATAATAAATATTTATTGCAAACAATTGAACTCAAATGTAAATTCTTCAACTATCAAATCTTCAACAGAAACCAAGAGTGAAATGTTCAATTACTATTTAAAAATTGTGCCCACGTTGTATATGCGGGGAAACAGTGACGGCGAGCCCATATACACGAATCAATTCTCCGTCACGCGATACCGGAAAGATCTATCAGATCGCGAGCGAGGAATGCCGGGCATATTCTTCAGCTACGAGCTCTCGCCGCTGATGGTGAAATATGCGGAAAAGCGCAGGTCAGTACTACAGAACTACAAAAGAAATGTGTAATTACAATTTTTATTGGTTGGTTCCCAGCTCCTTTGGTCACTTTGCCACAAATTGCTGTTCCATCATCGGAGGCGTGTTCACAGTGGCCGGCATTCTCGCCGTGCTGCTGAACAACTCGTGGGAGGCCCTTCAGCGGAAACTGGAAGTGGGCAAGCTCAGCTAACAACCATTTGAATCTCTTGTGCAGCTTTACTACGCCTAACTCAATACACATTCGACAAATCTCCAAATAAAAGTGCTTAATTTTATAGAAAGTGCGGACAGGCTGTTCCTTTAAGTGGTCCGCTGTCCCACTGACAGGAATCCGGAGGTGTTTGAAAAGTATTTGGCATTGGCTTCCGTCTGCGAACGTTCCGCCGCCTGCGGATTCACAATCTCCAGACCTTGCAGTGGCGTAAAGGCCACACTGGAGGCTGTTCCGGAGATTTGTCGTTTGACCGTGGTGTTGCCGCCATAGACCTGCTGCTTCTGCAGATTCTTGTGCAACGTTTTGCTTATGCGCACTTTGGTCTTCTCGTCCACCTGGGGCAATCGGATGCGGCCAGTGCCGGTTTTGCCGATCGTGCCTCGAGAATAGCCCAGATCTCCTTGGTAGGCATCCTCTTCGATCTAAAAGCAAACGCGTGGATTAATAAATAACTCATTGCCATCTTATTTACAAGCCAGAAACTTACGTCTCCGAAATTCATGCGGTTTGCTTGTTTGCGGAACTCTGTTAGCGCATATCGCTCCTTCATCTTGCGCACGCGTTTGCCTCCTCGCTTTTTCTTGCTTCCCTCGATTGGCTTGGGCAGCGGCTTTATAAACTTCACCGGCGGCGGCTCCTGCAGCTTGTCCAGCTTCTTTTCCACATCCTCCTTGAAGCGCAGTCCAATCTCCCCGTGGACACTCTCATGACAGGCATCCACACGAGCAGCCAGCACGGACTTGGCGGCCACCAAGCGAGCTGCCTTGCGCCGCAGATCTGGCGCAGTATCCTGGACAATCTGAGAGTAGTACACGTAGCCAGTGTGCGGCAACATCTGCGTTTGTGAGAAGCCTGACAGGGTTTTCTTCTGTGCACCCAACACCTGAACATTGCAGGCCGGCATTTTGGACAGTTTGGAAAGACCACCGGCAATGCCCAAGAGTTTGGCTGCCGTCGATGCTCCAACAATCATGGACAGATTTGGAGCTATGAAGGTCATGCGACTCTCCACATACTCGTAGATCTTGGACTTGAAGTTGTTCAGCTCGATGGCCATTTCGCAGGCCTCGTCGATCTTGGCCTTCTCCGCTGGTGTCAGCATGGTCCTGCCAACAGGAAAGGGATTTAGATGTTTTATTGGGCTTGGCGGACAAAATAACTTACCCCTGTGTGGTGGACGCTGTGACTGATACAATCATAATGGTGGCCTGCGTGAGGATGGCCTGCAGCTTCTCGTTGTTTTTGACCTGGTCCAGGTCATTGCCCAGCTCCTTGACCGCCAGCAAGTACTCGATTTCGCCCACGATCAGGGAGTCCAGTTCGGGGAATCGCTTCTGGTACTTCTCCTTGGTGAACTTGTGCACAATGGAGATCTCGTTATCAATGTCCACGGCTATGGCATTCGCGTCCACGATGAGGCAGTACTCGGGATCGGATTCCACGGATCCCAGCATTTCGGCTGCGGTTCTCTGGCGACTGGCATAGTGCTCGATCTGCTGCAGCGTGTTCCTCAGGCGCTCCGAGTCGCGCAGCTTGCAAAGTTCCCGCACCGACTGCACGGTTACATCCACGTCCATCAGATTGGGAGCCGGCTTGGCCAGCTTCTCCGCCAGCAACTGTTTTGTGGGAGGGGAATCATTAGGACTCATCAAGATTTGTTTGGTTTTCTTACGCTTTCGTCCTCGGCACTGGCCATCTCCGCATCCTCCTCCTCCAGCTCATTGTCATTGTCTTCCTCGAGATCGGCCAAAAGTTCATCAGCTAGCGACATGTTGGCTGTTTTTTAAGTTTATTTGTCGAACTCGTGAAATAAAGTTTGTTTTGGAATGGAGTGACCGTCGCTTAACCGCTTAAATATACCTTGTGGCTCACTGCAAAAATACTAACCAATAGCGTAAATATAGAGGGTATTCCTTTAAAGAATACCTTAAGTTTGTTCCACAGAATTTAAATTGTTAAATTTAACAAAATTCGATTAGCATATCAGACAGGGAGACGACGATTATAATTCTTGTTATTTGATAAAAGACAAACAAGTGCAAAAACGGTGGTACAACTACGTTTTGAGTCCTTCGATGAAAATATACGTTTAGAAATCGACTGTTTTGTTATATTGTTAGCTTTCACTGCTTGTGTATTTTGGGGCGATAAGAGCTGGATGCATGAAGATGGAGGTCAGGAGTAATGTTCTATTATATTAAGATCATCATTACGCTAGGTAAATATGTATCGGGAAATTCCAATTCTTGTTATTCAATATCGATATATATTGAAATATATATCCCCTTGAATTCTGCATTTGAAAGTCAAACAAGTGCAATAACGGATGAAAAAATTCGATGAAAATATACGGTTAGAAATCAACTGTTTTGTTATATTGTTAGCTTTCACTGCTTGTGTATTTTGGGGCGATAAGAGCTGGATGCATGAAGATGGAGGTCAGGAGTAATGTTCTATTATATTAAGATCATCATTACGCTGAGTAAATATGTACTCGGAAATTCAAACGTGCACGAGCTCCCTAAATATACCAACTTGATTTTGGTATTTTTAAGCCAGTGTTTCGCGGAATATTATTCGGTTTTGGCGCACAATCTCGGCGTCTGCATCCTGCTTTTTGCGCAAACTGGCGCACGTTTATGGGCCACTAGCATGTCCAAGAAGTTGAACACCAGCGTGGGCGGAACGCCCAAAAACACACTACTTAATTACTTTTCCAAATCGCCGGCTGTTGACAAAAAGAAATTTATTCCAAGCGAGAAATCGGACCCTAAAGCATCCACGCCCGACAAGGAGAACCTCCAGAACCAGCAGCCAAAGGTGAAGGAGGCCCAGAAAAATGACTCCAAGCCGGCGGCCAAGAGGAAGTTGCCCATTTCCGATGATGAGGCGGGCAATGGTCAACGCAAGCGGAAGCGCATCGTACAGCCGGAATCGGAAAGTGAACCGGAAATGGAGGAGACCAAGTCGGAAGACGACTTCTCCGATTGCGCCTCCGACTACGAACCGGATGAGAAAGAATCCAGCGATGATAGCGTCAGCAGCGGCGAGGAGGAGGTGTCGCCCAGCGAGAACGACATGTCCGTGGACAGTCCGACTCCAAAAAAAACGCGCAAAAAGACAAAGATCCTGAACAACAACAATAACAATGAGCCAACGAGCAAGAAGGTCAAGCTGGAGTCGTCCATCCAGCTGGCCGAGGGTTCAACCTTTCAAGAGAAGCTGAAGAACCTGCAGAGCAATGCCAAAAAGGATGCTTCGTACGATGACATCGTGACCAGCACGTCCAATCTGGATGAGCCCGTTGTTTGGCCGCACCAGAAACTGGAGTTCCTCCAGCCGGACAAGATCAAGGACAAGCAGGGAAGGCGTCCAGATCATCCGGACTACGACAAGAGCACCCTGCATGTACCGGAGAAGTTCCTCAACGGACTGTCGCCGGGAGTTCGACAATGGTGGGTCCTTAAGTCGGACAACTACGACTGTGTCTTGTTTTTCAAAGTGGGCAAGTTCTATGAACTGTATCACATGGATGCGGATGTGGGCGTCAACGAGTTGGGCTTCACTTACATGCGCGGCGAGTTTGCTCACTCGGGTTTCCCGGAGATATCCTTCGACAAGATGTCCACCATCCTCATAGACAGGGGCTTCAAGGTGATTTGTGCGAGGAGAGTTTCTTTTCCCAATAGTAATGCAACATTTTCTTTAGGTGGCTCGCGTGGAGCAAACTGAAACCCCTGATATGATGACTGAGCGGTGCAAGCGGATCAAGGCCACCAAGTTCGACAAAGTGGTGGCCCGCGAGATCTGCCAGATTACCAATCGTGGCACCCAGGTCTTTGGCTCACAGTGCAAGATCGGACCGAATCATCAGCCCAACTATATGTTGGCCATAGTGGAGCAGGATGAGGGAACTTGGAGTCGGTATGGAGTGTGCTTTATAGACACCTCCATTGGGGACTTTCATGTGGGTGAGTTTGAAGACGACAAGAACTGTTCCCGCCTGCTCACCCTGTTGTCACATCACATGCCCGTGCTGGTAAGTAACTATTTCATATGGGTACATGGAAAACAAATTATGTCTATATATTCCCTAGCTGCTCAATGAAAAATCCGCTCTGAGCCAGCGATCCCAGCAAATTGTGCGCACTGTGCTGGGTGGAATCCTCAAGGAGCAGGTTCCCGGCAACGGAACGCAGGCCTGCAGTGCCGAGAAAACCCTGAAACTTCTGGCGGAACGTTACTATGCTGGAAGCGGATCCGACGACAACTGGCCGTTGGTTCTGCGCACAATGCAGTCAGATATGGATCATTTGGGCCTTACACCCAATGATAATTACAAGCTAGCCCTTAAAGCTCTCGGCCAGTGCATCTTTTTTATACACAAGTGCAAGCTGGAGCCCAAGGTGCTGCCCATGGCGCGTTATCAGCTATACGTGCCGCCCGATCAACTGGCGGATGCCAAGCCGGCGGTGGCATCTACTTTGAGGCGCTCCCACATGGTACTGGATGCCACTACTTTGTCGAACCTCAGGATTATTGGAGAGGAACACTCCTTGCTCTCCACTTTGGATCACTGCTGCACCAAGTTCGGAAAGCGACTGCTGCACCACTGGCTTTGCGCTCCGAGCTGCGATGTGGCGGTCATCAAGGAGCGACAAGATGCTATTGGTGAGCTGATTCGAATGGCCAGTGAACTGCAGGAAGTTCGCGCTTTGCTGGCTCCATTGCCGGATTTCGAACGAAATCTTGCACAGATTCACCTATTTGGAAACAAACAGATAAAGCAGATGGATCATCCGGATTCCCGGGCGATTCTCTTCGAGGAGAAGATATATAACAAGCAAAAGCTACTGGGATTCATGGCCGTTCTTAAGGGATTCAACGCCCTAACCAAGCTGCCTACGCTGTTCCATCAGTGCGAAACAGCTTTGCTCAGGAGGATTACCCAGCTGCCGGAATCTGGAGGATCATTCCCCGATCTTAGCAAGGAACTACAATATTTTGCCACTGCCTTTGATCATGATGCAGCTGCTAAAACAGGTGTGATTGCGCCTCAAGCGGGAAT